ATGGTTATCTATAGCCCTTAATAGGCCCCCTAATATAGACTGTTACTGGGGGGGGGGAGGGGGGCAGTACCCAAGATTTAGGGTTTAGGCTATAGGATTTAAGGTTTAGGGCTTAGGGTGTAGGACATGGTTTAGGGTTTAGGGCTTAGCTTTTAGGAGCTAGGGTTTAGGGTTTAAGGTTTAGGGTTTATCGTGTAGGACTTGGGGTTTAGGGATTAATTAGGGTTTAGGGCTTAGGGCTTATGATCTAGGGTTTAAGGGTTTTGGGGTTTTGGGTTTAGGGTGGGTTGCCGTCAAGGATATGTTCCCATAGCAGGTTCCCAGCAAAGGCCTACAGGGGCTATATAGGTGTTGCAAAGGTTTGCAGTTTTTCGTTCCCATACTATGGACATACCATGAAAAATGGGCACCTCATAATGATAAACCCTTTCAAGTCATAGCCTGAGGCCGTTCCATCTGACAAAGGTGAACCCCAAATCCTAAACCCTTACACCTGAATCTGGGTTGCTGTCAAGGAACTTAATCCCCAACATAGTAATTCAAATTAAGTTCCTCAGCAGCAACCCAGTAATTGAAGTTCCTTAATAACAGCCCGGGCTCCAGCTGGTCCGTGGGCAAATCGCTATACGGGAAATGCCCAGCGATCAGCACAAACAAGAGCACCTCACAAAAGCAGTGCATACCAGCACAGCTAGGGTCTAGGATTTAGGGTGCACTAAAAGAGGCTTTACATCGGGGTATATAGAGATATGTATTGGGGATTGGGGAACCTATGTAGGGAAAAGACCCCAAGCTTTTACCAGGTAATTTCCAATAGTCTTTTTTACTTACTGCTAGCTGAAAAGCAACATGGTTGCCACTTCCTAGCACTTAGTCTTTTGCGTATGTCTCTGTCTCATGGGAGTTTTCCAAAAATTAGACATCCCTTTTTGAGGGTACCTATGACAAGGACGATAGTATTTGGGGGGCATATAAAGGATTTCCTAATTATGGAAACTCCCAGAAGCATCCATGTAAGCCATAATCTAAACTCCTAGTATCCCCCTTAATATCCCCTATAGTAGTCCCTTACATAACCCCCTATACATCCCCCTTTAAGGAGTTTAGACTATAGCTCATGTGATGGGGACCTCTAAGGCAGAAGCGAAGCTGAGTCGTCCTTTATTTGGTGGTTGAACCCTTGTAGCCTTCTTCTCTCCTCATAGAATGTTGCAAGTCATACTGTAGACTAGGGACTATAGTGTTTCCGTTAACATACAACTCATCTTTGGTCTGCAGCTTTTGGGCGGGACCATTGGTGAGATCCTTGTAGCTAATGGGGGCTGACATGGGGACTGCCAAGGAATATGAGGAAAAACAACGGCTTTACAAGAGTTGTAATAAATGGAAAAGGGATTCGGGGTCCCTATTTGCAGGCTCACGGGACTTGGTATCTACTTGTACCTGGGCTTATAACCCTACTTGTCATCGTCCTAACCCTGACCCTGAATCCTAAACCGTAAACCCTAAACCCTAAGTCCTAAGCCTGAAATACTAAACCCTAGATCCTAAACCCCCAAACCCTTGCTTTCAAGCCGAGGAGCTCCCAAGCACCAAAGGTCTGCTCCGAAGCTATGGGAGCCCTCTCCTTCAGTGGTGGTGTTTAGGATTTACGGTTAGGGTTTAAACCCTAAACCCCAATCCCAAACCCTAACCCTAAATCCTAAATCCTAAACCTTAAACCCCAAACCCCAAACCCTAAACCCTAACCCTAAGGTTTAGGGGTGAGGGTTGGAGGTCCAGGGTTAAAACTGGGGAATATTCACGAGCCCTATAGCCGATAGAGTTCTTGTGGCTTTTTGGGTGCAGAGTTTGGGCTTATGGTCCGGAAGAAGTAAGCGGCAATACACTCATTCGATGGCTAGGGAAACTTGGCAAGGGATATTTGGGGGGGAACCAAAAGAAGCTGAAAACTTCTACATTATCTCAGGTTTATGGCTTGGGGGAACTGAGTAAATAGCTTATATCATTGTGGATAGCTGGGGTTTCTGAATAGACTACATTTGCTAGGTCCCCGCCCTCCAAGTAGGTTATATAGCGGCATATGAGTACATACGGCTTTAGTTTACACACGGGTTAATGACAAGAGCCTAGAGCACCAGCGGACTGGGATGGTCCCTCTTCTGGATTCTCTACGGATAATTCGGAGAATCTCCCACGTGTAGCCATGGGCTTCAGCGTTTGGCATTCAGGGTTTACAAACCCATCGAATCATGTACAGTGGTGACTGCAAGGGAGTATGGCCCACACCGTGCCTGTTCTATGTGTTCTTCAACCTGGGATCGCAATAATGACAAGTATCATTTGGAGTCTATTTGGAGTGCCGTATACCGAGAACACAGGGAGGAATCTACAACCGTAATATTGTTTTGGCATCTAGGCCCTCAACCCTGGACCCTGTACATCCCCGGAAACCCCTTGTATCTTCTTCGTTCAGACCCCTATCCTAAATCCTAAACCCTAATCCCTAAACCCCCTTACAGTAGGCATTGAGTCGTTTGGATGTGTATCTCTCAGATGCCTTGATGTCCATTCACTCTGTCGCATGCAGGCATTCAGTATTGCAAAATAAATGTGAAACTACATCCTAGGAAAAGGGTTTAGGGTTTAGGGTATCCGAGGGATTAGGGGCTTAGGGGTCAGGGTTTGGAGTTTGAGGTTTACTGCAGCATTTAGGGTAGTGAACTTCATATCCAAGTTTTCGCCAAGCTAAGGAAAGCAGTTTGTGTGTCTTCCCCACTACAAGTACGCCCTAAACCCTAAATCCTAAACCCTAAATCCTACACCCCAAACCCCAACTTGGTATGAATTTCAAGCCCAAGCTGCCCAGTACTTCCGGTGCACAGTAGGGCTGGGTGCCCACTGTGGAACAGGCAGCGGCCATACTGGGATCCAAGAATCCTGCACCAGCAAACACGTGGGTAGTTCCCAAATTAGGGTCCCATTTTGGTATAACCTAGAACCAAAAGGGGTGAGAGCAACCCACAAAAGAGTTTGGGGTTTAGGGTTCCTGGTTATTACGCCTCAAGAGCGCAGGGAGTCAAATGGAAAAAACGGAAGATGAAATGGATGTTTTGATTTTACGGTGTAGGGTTGGGGTTTAGGATTTCTCCAACGAGGGGGCCCTGGAGATGGCAGGTACATACAGATCATAATTCGAAGGTGCTTATGCGAGTCCCTCTTCAGGATTCTATGTAGGGGCTGCTTCCGAGAAACTCCAACATGAGCGGGTATCATATGTTTCCCAAAATTAGGGGTACCCTTAAGGGGTTGATAGGGGTTATATGAGGGCTATATAGGGGTTATATAGGCTTTATAGGGCTAAAAGGAGCTTATGGTGACGGAAACGGCATTTGCATCTCAACGAAACAAGCCGCTTAGCGATAACCAAATGCAAGCCTCCTTTCTTGTCTTTTTATTCAGCAACCCTAAACCCTAAACCAGCTAGGTCCTAGGGCATTAGGTCACCCTAAACTCTAAACTCTAAACTCTAGACTCTAATTGAAACCCCTTAACTGTGATTCCCCAAGATTTTCCCATGCAAGGGAACTAGAAGTAAACCCTTGGGTACTGCCCCCTCGCCCCGTAACAGTGGGTAATACGGTTTATTTTCGGGGCTGTATATGACTATGACCCAAACATACCAAAACATCATCCATCTGTTACGGGGTTGGGCCATACCCAAGATAACTGTAACTTGGTCTCATTTTCATTTAATTAGACAACTAGCGACTAGTAACCCCGCTTCACTACGCTGATGTCCCTACCTACCCCACATTCCCCCGAAGAATGGCAGCCTGCTCCTTGCAACCCCACTTTGAAGCCTGAAGCCTAACCCTAAACCGCAAATCCTCAACCCTACATCCTTTTGCTGTAAGTAGCCCTCGGCATAATCCCCTGCATGATCCCTATATGTAGCCGTACTTCAGAAGTACCCATGAACCCCAGCAAGCACAGAAAGTCGAGGAGCGAGACAACCCGAAATCTGTTATCTTGACCTGAGATGGGTTAGGGATGTTTATGAGGGGATATTTAAGCTTAATTAAAGTTAATTAAGGTTAATTAAGGGGGGAACCTAGGGGGGGTAGTGTAGAGGGGGATACTACTTGAACCTATGAGGTGAGAGGGATTATCAAGGATTAAAGTTTCCAGAACTAGAAATTGAGCTACTTTGGGACTATGTTGTACACGAACCACCATTTGGAATGAGGTCGCCTAAAATCGTTATGTTAGGGTTTTGTGGGGTCCCTTTGGTTTGGGGATGTACACGAACCGAGGAGAACGAAATGGAAAAGAACATGGATAGGAAATGGAAACTGATACTTTACACGGGATTTAGGGTTTAGAGACTAGGTAAGCATATAACGGAACAGTAGAGTCTATTGCATATGACCTGGTTATATAGCTTGGGAAATTCCCTGCCTGGAATCTTAATTTTCAGGGATCCGTGTAGGAGAACTTGCCCTTTTGAGTTTTTGAATTTGCTCGCGAACCCTTGGCCGGGTAGCCTTTCTGTTCATCTGGGCCTGAGTTTGGGGTTGAAGATTTCAACTTGGCAGACGTCACAATATGCATATTCGGAGTTTTTGCCACATGCATGACTCGGGACAGCGTTTTGGGGCCAATCATAGACTGTAATGGGTTGACATTTGGGGGCGATGTATTATGCATCTCTTGAAATACTGGTGCTGGGCGGGCACAATCCCAAGATATGGACCTTAATTTGGCAAAAAAAAATCTCTGCCTGGACTTCTACTCAGGCTTCAGTGAGCAGAAACATGACAATGTGGGAAACATCCCTGTACTCAGAATCAAGCTAACCCACTCCCTTGTATTTTGGCCCCACCCATCATACTAAATATTCCCATTGTGGTATTGGGGGATGTGACTTAGACCAAAGTGGTGACCAATTCGCGGTCGGGGTTCATTGTAAAGCACAGGCCCATTGGCATAAGCTCGTCTTTGGGAAGCAACCATCACGTTTTCAAGTTTCAAATCTCTGTGCACGACGCCTTGGATGAGTTCGATTTGCTCAAGAAACATAAAACAAAACAAAAAACAAGATTAACGAGGATGAACCCTAAATCCTAAACCCGATTTCAATTTAAAATCCAGAGAAGCAGCCTTTTCCATGAAGAAAGGCTAGGCCTAAGACCAGTTGATTGCCAACGTAAGCTGCTTCCCGATCCTGAAACCGTGTTGGCGATCTAGATGTGAGGACCTGAGCCCCATGGGCTTCTGTAGGTTTAGGGTTTAGGGTTTTGGGTTTTGGGGTTATGTAAACTATTGGAAAAGAACCAAATTATTTTCGGGAGGGTGCAACACATCACGGGGCTCTAATGTTGAGGATCCTATGGAGGATAGCTGGCGAGCATCCTGTTCATTCTGTCCTGAGCTCTGGGGCCGCGGGGGCGGGCGGGTGTTAGCAAAGAAAATGTTGGGTGGGCGGGCAGGTGAAGAAAAAAACACGCACACACACACACACACACACACACGAACAAACAACCAACAGTTGTTTGTTTTCGCCTGCCTCCCCCCCTTCTGCTTTTTTCCTTTTTTGGGCCTCCCGCCCCCCACTCCGGCCCCCTGGCCTCTTGGACCATCGCCGTCACAGCCCGATCATTTACTACTCACCTCGCCTTTCGCGGATCTGACAGCAATCCCTGCTGACATTCCAGGATACACTACATCCTATTTAATACATATACTCTACCGTCTGGTGCATGGAATATACAGCATATCGCGGCAAACATACGAAGGGTCCTTCGCTCTGCCAAAACAGCTCAAGCCAGGAGTGCTGTAAATATGGGAACCGTAATGTGTTCTTTCTGAAAAGAAATGGCAAATGAAATGGAAAACTGGGATTGAAAAGGGCTCTCGTATGCATTAGAATCAGGTTGTTTGGGATTTCTGTCATAGCGATGTCGGAGTGCACGGTCAATGAACAAAAAAAGGCACGGTGAGGCCGTGCTAAGCCAGTGGCCGTGAACAAGTCTCCACCGCCGATCAGCTCCAGTACCATCAGGAACCAATAGCCTTCCTGAAACGTGTCAACCAGCCTCAGTTGCAAGATGTTGCAAGGCAAGTGGAGCACACTTTTACATGACCCGCTTCCACCGACGCTGTACTTGCTATGTCTACATCGATGTTTCTGCAAAATCTTGTTTTGAAAGCTGCTGTTAAGGGGGAGCGGGAAACCGGATCCCATGACTATCCCTACAACCTCCCCACATACAAGCCTATTGTAACGCTGAAGTTCACTCCCCGCTCAACATCAGAAGTTTAAAGGAAAAGGCCCTGATCCTTTTTCCTGTTAACCAGTATACAACCAACCCTGACCGTATAGCTCCTAAACCCCAAACTCTAAACCCTCAACCACCAGGCATTCCCCAACAGATAGGAGTTTCTCAAAGAGGGAGGCCTGTAGGGACCATCGGGAGATGTAGCGCGGTTTATCAGGGGATTCTACAGGTATCATTTTGGAAAACTCGAAAACAGGGGTTGGCGGCTGCCATCAACCCCCACCTATGCAAGAAGCCTGCTTAAATCCTTGCGAATGCGCTGGGCCATTGACAATCTGAAAAAAATCCTTCAAATCCATCTTCAGACACGGGCACGGTAGGATGTATGTACGCATGGGTGGTATGGGATGATACATACAGGATCATACAAGGTAGGTCCCAAGATTCCTAGATATCTGGGTTTTGGATTTAGGGCTTAGCTTTGGATGCTCTAATGTTTAGAAAGTTTACCTGGAGCTTATGAAGTTACAGGCCGCACCCCGAATTAAGAGATCACAATTGAGCGATAGTCTGAACTCCGAATATCCTCCTTACAGGAGTTTAGACAGGCATGGGGACGGAGCCGCGGTAACAGACGCCATGGGTTTTTGCCCTGAGCGTGCCCTCCAAGTTCTTGGGGCTAGGCTTTCCACAAAACTGCAAATGCCCTAAAACCCCTAAAGCGTAAACCCCAAACCCGCGCGTCTACTGGATTCTACTGGTAGGGGAGTGTGTTCGTCATGCTACAAGGCGCTGGGAGCAAGTTACTGCAAGTCCTGCTACAAGGCACCTTGAGGGGTGGTGGCAACAGTGGCACAGTGCAAACACAGGACCTAAGAAAAAAAAATTAGGGCTTTCCCAAAATTAAGAATACCTTTATGGGTGTCCTTAACATAAGGATTACACAGTAGTAGGGTCTATATTGCGGTCCCCCTATTTTGGGAAACTACCAATTGGGGATGTATCCTGGAGAGTGGCAACTTGGGGGCTTAAAGAAAATGATTCTGTTGTATATGCCCCTTCAGTAGATAGCATATAGGGTTTGGGTTTAGGGGTTAGGGTTTAGGGTATAGTCCCCCTTGAGCAGATAGAATATGGGGTATATGGGGCTCTTATGATAATATACCTAAAGCCCAAAGCCATATTCTATCTACTTACGGGGGAATATCAGGTTTGGAGGAAGGTTTTGGGGCTCTATGATGGGGATGTGATGACTGGGAGAATTTAATTGCGGCAGGATGTCCATCTGCTGACACTCACTGGGATATACTCAGGGGCCCAGCAATGGCCTAAGAGGGCAAGATGTAAGGATGATCGTCCACAATAGCTGGTTTTATTCTCCAGGAACACCCCAATTCAAACATTGGGAACAAAATAATCCGCCTTTGCCTCCAAGCTGCCGAACGATGTTAGGATGAACCGGCAAATCTTTCAAAATGTCTACCTGCACGAGTTACAGCTCGTCAACACAAAACATGTCCTCATGTTTCTGCTACTGATACCTTCCAGTCAGCGGTGCAGCTTTCGGTTTGCTCTGCAGAACGGCCGCTGCCTCTCGTTCGAGCTTCTTCAGCTCCCGCTCCACGTCTGGGCTCATCCGCAATCCTCGGTCCACACAATTTTCATTGCTGCAGCACGGCAGCAAGATTCTGATTGCATCAAGGAAGCTGCGGAGATTCACTGCTTTTACCGCGAATCCGACCTGACAACCAGCTTTGCCTGAGTTTGAACACGTCAGCTACAGCGGTACTTCACTGCGAGAGCACTTTTTACTGCAACTTCTGAAATCTGAGGATCTGACTGCAAACGAAGACCTGGCTTGACCCTCCCTGCCCAAGCTTTCGCCCACGGCGATACCCATGGAAACTCAAAGGAGGGGAATTCGGTGAATTCACCTCTGCAACCTCAGATCAGCTTGTTACACTGACCACCAACCTCAAAACCATAGCAGGGTCAACATGCAAGTAAGCTGCATCGTCCTCGTCAGCACCTGGTTTACCATCAGAACACAAAGAACGACACCAAAGGGGAAGAACAATAACAACTTACACCCATAAACTTCGTAGCCAGGATTGGGGTCTCCTCACTTTTTAAAAAAATACGATGATACGAATCCTTCGGAATCGAATCTAGCTGATTGAAAAAATCGAGTTATGTCGGTCTGGACGCTGTCCACCAACTCCACCACACCCACGATTTCCGCAACATCGCTGTCGCTGTCTCTAACGTCAACCGCCGCCGGCATGCCTGAGGCATCAAAAACCCACCGCCCAAAGCATGAAGTGATTAACTTACTGCTGCTCAAGGTAGAGTGGGGGAGTGATTCCTATAATAATCCCGAATGATCCCTGTGTGATCCGTATATATGCCCGATGTTCACTCGCCCACTCCAACTTCAGGACTAGTCGGTTAAAGAAGTAAAGAGAAATCAAACAACCGCCACTTAGAAAATTGTGCAAACCAAAGGCACCAGCGTCTGCAGAAAACACGGCTGCCAACCAATAGCAGCATTAAGCGATCGCATGGCGACAAATCATGCTCGTATGTAAGTCTACTTGGCCAATTTATTCTTTGGAGTGGTAGCTTTCAACGATATTTTGCAATCGTCGCGAGGGTTCCACTAATAAGAATGACCGCATATGCATCAAAAATAAACATTTGGTGGTGCGAAATCCTCTCCAGCCTTTACCATGTCACTACCTCTGCTGAAATCGTCACAATCGGCAACAAGAAAATGCAAGGAACATGTAGAACAAAATAGGGTGGATTTCAGAGCAACACATTCACGTCTTTTGCCCAGTGCCCAGCATATAACATATCGGGGCACCTTTCTTCGGCATCAACAAAATGACCACTATCGAATGCGCACTGGGAAGGGATATTGCACCATGTCATCCAACAGTCAGGCAGCATCTGCTGTGTGTCGTGAGACGTGCAGCGTTGCACAATGCTGCGTGACATTTCCGACAATTTTTTAGGCCCGACATGGCACTGGCAGTGCCTACGAAAAACTCTGAAAAATCACATAAAGCCAAGGCATGCCCTGCAGCTAGAGCAACCATTGATCCCATGCGTCTGGCCGCCATTCGACTTGCGCATTATTGCCGCTGGCTGCAATGCGTGGTCACCTTTCTGGCTAAGGCCAAACACAACATGTACAAGTGCGATGGCTGGCGGGGGCGGAGCAACAAGGCCCGCATGCACGGGCATGCAAGGGAACCATCCGGTACCTTCCACAACAGGAACCGTCACGAGCCTACAAATGATGCGTGTTTGCAGATTTTACATAAATCCATTCTCCTCCTTCACGCCTAAGGGCCTAAAACAAAAAGCCGTTTCAGTCCCCAGCACCGTCCATTACACTTCGGACCATAGCCCGTTACACACGTTGGGAAATCTCTGGCCGAAGCTCTAAATCTTTCGAGCCCTAACCCCCGACACCATGCACAAAAACAACTGCAGCGAGATATGGACTGTAATGTCAGGGATCATATGTGCCCCCCTTCGGGCATCAATTGCGCCGCCCCCCCGCAGGGGTCACCCCTGACCCCTTTAGAGGATCACTTGCCCCCCCAAAACCCACCACTACAACATCATGCTCTCTGGGATCAACATCAAAGTAATGCAAATTCTCACGATCAACTAACACTGATATGCCTCCTAGGCACCCCGACTGCTGGTCTGAGATGGGGTCACGGTGGCCAATTGTGGTGAGTTCTCATTGTCAGTATGAACAACCGGTCCGGAAACAACCTCTTGACCGCATCGCCCCAAATTGTTGGCTCCAGACAGTATTGCGTCCCTTTGACAATCGGATGGTTGGCCCCAGACAGCCCTCCAGCATTATCAAAGCCAAAATGTGGGATAGTTTCATGGAACAACATGGACCACATTAAATGCCGGCAATTTTCGCACAATCAACATGGACAAAAATACCGGAAATGCTCGGACTGCGGACCCGCACGCCCTTGGCTATGGACCCCGGAGCCCATCAACAGCCCGCCATTCCATGAAGCTATGATTTGGTATAATCTTATGGACCTGCATCAATTTTTTGCAATGGACAAGATACCTCGGAGTCTGGCCCAGACTTCGTTACACCCACTCCTGATACAGTACCCGTGGATTGCAGCCGTGGATTCCCTAGACTGCTTGGCAAGCAGGATGCCCATAACACCCCGGGGACGCCACCCCCCGCTGCTGGCGGACACCCCGCACTGCTGTTCGCTGTTTGCAATGCAGCCGGACGCAGCGAGCAGCGCTGGATCGGCCACTCTTGAATTGAATGCGGCCACGATCGGAACTTTCCGCGCCAGCTGGACTGGAGGCAGCGCCGCAAGCATCCACCAACAGCAATGCTGTAGACTAAACATTCGCGGTCTTTGGTGTTTTCGGCCGTGTCAAGCCGGAAGCCTTTTCCAGAATGTTTTTGCTGAAGCTGAGGGTTTCGCGGACGTCTGCACCACAAGTCCTGAATGGTCCTGATTCTGTCGTTGTTTGCACGCCATTGACGACACAGGCGAAGGCCTATATATGTGACTTCTTTTGTCTCGGCCCTTTCCACCTGCACAACGAAGTCCGGTCCTCACCCATCTACGGGCCAGGAGCCGCGCCGCCGTGGCTTCAGTGCCGTCCTTGCCGGTTCGCGGGTACGGGAAACTGCCAGCGCCCGTTGGCGACGATTGCGATGCATTCGTAGTCTGACACTGGCACATGGGTGTTCATATCGGCCAAGCGCGCATTGCATGCTACCCGAGCACCGATTTCTTGGCACACGCGCGTGACGGCCCTCTCCAAAGGCAGCACACGTGACGCCAGCACCCCTGAAGTGGCACATGCGGGCCTATAGTTGCCGAGAAGATCAAGGTGGCCACGGCAGGCACATGTGCGGGGCGCGACTGGCAGCGGAAAACGTAGCCGGCGCAGCCGCACGACGCGCAAATGCGCCGAGGGCACGGTGACTACAGCAGACGTCGGGAAAGACTGGGTTGGCTGGGGCGGCATGCAGCCCCGACTGCGCCAGCAGCAGCGCTCGAAAAACGGCATCAACGGATGCACGTGCTCAGAGAGAACATGTGGGCATACGACAACACAAACGTTGGGCAACCGAATTTCACGCAAGTCTTGGTGGCAATATGTGTTTGGACTGTGAGGGATGTTGTCGCACACATTGCATGCTTGCAGGAGAGAAGCCCTCCGTGATGCCCTGCCACAATGCGAGAACATGAAACGTTTTGGGCCCTCTGACAAAACAGTTGCATCCTGCTCCAAGTCCTCTGCCAAATCAACAATGGCATCAAGGGTTTGCTGGCTTACTGGGCAAAATAAAGAGCTGACCATTCAACAACACCATCTTCGGCCACGAACGCTGCATGAACAAGCTTCCCACCATACCGGGCAAACACCTTACAGCTTCGATTGTTCACCCCTATATTACGCGGACCAATGTGGAAAAAATCATTGATATTGCTCAAAATCTTGCCCCGTTTTCATTCCGAAATTTTCGAAACGCCTGGGAAGCGTAACCGTACCGTTACCATATGTTACCTCAGTGGTGGGTTTGCATGCGTGGGTGCAGTGTTCGAATTTACACGTCTCCAGATGTCTGCTATTTGATTTTTCCGATAACCGTTTCTACGCGACATCAGCTCCCAACAAGCTGTGCCCAAAATGATGTGGTGGACGTAACGCCTTGTGCGCTCGGCAGCGCTGGAGACGGCACGCCCTGGCGCAACGTCGGCTCGCGTCACAGGAGAGACAAGCGTCG